ATAATAATCTATTTTAACATCTTACATTTTTACCTTTAAAGGGAGTGTTTGCTAGTAAACTAACGGCAACATCTTGATTATCAGAAGATAGTTTTGCTATTACAGGACACACTCCGAAGTTTTTAGAATTAAAAAATATATTTTGAATCTCGAATCGTGTTCAGGAGTTCGGTCTTCATATATCTAGAGAACTAATGGAGGTCGGTATTAAATTTAACAATTTTATAAAATATTTTAAATTCCAGTTCGTTGATTTTTATCCTTAATGGGGTGGTGACCTGTGTCATTAGCCTAGCCCTTTTTGGTTCACAATAGGCTTGTGTCATTTATTCACTAATTCATTAATTTCCGTCCTTTGTTAGTTATGAAGAGGACTTGGCCCCGATTTCACGGAATGATAATTGATCTTTAATTTATTGATGAAACAACAACCCATCCTTGTATTATATATTTTTATAATTTACCACAGGACGTAGCAATATTTTTCTATCTACATCTATCTAGGTACGAGGACGTGTCCTGCCCCCTCCTAAACTACAGTATGGAGGACGCACCAAACAACAAGCTCTACCCAACCAAGGAGTATGGGATATGAGGGGGAAACAGTTCTTCTCAGGAGTCGATATCAAGGTGTATATAAAATTTATTAAGTGGTNGGGTCACTAGTTTCTCTTGATTTGAATTTAACTTCCAATAAACATGGGAATTAATAGAAGGCTTGATTTTTAAAATTTTATAAATGACAGTGTGTTTAAAAAAAATATTGCAGGTCTTATGGGCCTCTCTAAATGTGGTTCAGCTTCTACTTATTTTTAAAATTTAATGTGTGAACAAACTTGTTTCATATAATGATGTGGAATCCAGACAAAGTTCTTTTTATCTCCAACAATTTGAAGCTATGGCCAGACTACATTTCCGAAATCCCGAAATATAAAATTGTGTTAATCATAACAAAGAGAACATAGAAATCACTTGATTCCCATGTTTATCGAGACACCTTGTCCTTGTTTTTGACGTGAGTAGATAATTCCATTGGAAGTGTGTGCTCCCACAAGCGCCGGCTCACACCATTGCACGATGTCGTTCTGGTCTTATGCATTTGTATACGAACGGGATCTGTCTGTGACCTTTAGAGGTTGCGTTCAGTCATGGACCCTTCTGTACACTCACTCTTAGATTCCTAATGATCCTGTCGGTACCCTAGTATGTCGAGATGTTCAAGATGGTTTTAAGATTGTAGGATGTTACTGATAATTGATTTCATTCATTCATTACCTTTACTTTTTTCGATTTTCATATTATCCAGTTCAGCCTTTGTGTACTCATTAAATTAGTCTGACTTCTACATAGTATTTTTGTTTTAATGAGCCTCAATTGTAATATCTGTTTAAGGATTGGGCAATTGCTTGCTTTGCTCCTCAGCGTACAGTACGCGAAGACTCCCTACGTACGTTCACCCAGCAGCTGCAGAAGATCAGTTCCGACATGGGAATGCCGATAATAGGTAAACAAAGGGGCATTAGCGTATGACCTCTGGAAAACTAAAAAATAAAAAATATATTTCGATTCAAATGTTCGGCAAGATGAACCGAGTGTTAAAATGGGATTCAACTTTCCATGTGATAACATATTAAAGTTTTATTTATGAAATTAAAATCTAAATTGTACAGTTAATTAATTTGATAAGTCTTATAGTATCCATCCATTATTAGCTATAATGCCTTTTCCACCCCAATTTATCAAAGTTATTTTGGTTTTTAAGAGTCTGATATGGTTTGATTCGGTATGTAGAACATTACGACTTACTAATCTAACTTATCCATACAGAAACCTAATTTGTTATGTCAGAGATCTGTCAAGCTAAACGTTTAATTCGAATAACAAATTACAAACTGGGAGAACCGAAATATATTTGCTAATCAAAATATGAACATGATAAATCAGACCTGCGATATGAATATTAATTTAGGACAACCCTGTTTCTGTAAGTATGCGGGGGGAGAGGACCAAGTAGAACCAATGTTTAGGTGAGTCTTTCAATATGCCCTTAGCTGTAAACTGTGGATATCGAGATCAATATTTGATCTTCTCTTTTCTTACTGTTTGATATTAAGAGAAGTGTCTAAAATTCAACCAATTAGAGTGTCGTTTACAGAAGCTGTGAAATTTTGCGCGCAACCAATTTACTAATTTTTCCGCACACTCATTGGTCGGATCCTAGTTGGAATATTCAAAAGGAGAGAATAAAGCGCAACTCAAAAGTTTCCACATTTGATATTCAGATAAAGCGATCAGGATGAAGGGTATCCAATTCGATAGTTCCCATTTCTGGTATTTTTCCCCTTCAGAATACCCAACATGGCCTTAGCTATTTTTTTTAGTATTTTTATTGAGTTCTGTATCGATTGAGGTTAACTGATCATATCAACGTTTAGCTTAAATCAGACAGGGTATCCCACTCCATATTGGTTAAAATATTCATTGGATTACGATACATGACTGGCTAAGTTTTTGAAAATATCTTTTATATAAAAAACGTTATTTCTAGCCTAAGGGTTATTACTCTATAATTAGTTCGTATACCCTTAAAATCGGTGTTCTCAAGATCACTTTCCATAGCACCCTACTAAGTAACTTCATATATACAGATAGATCTACATATACATCTAACAACGTCCATTCGTCATCTATGGAGCGATTTAGCGATATACTAAGCAATTTTATAACTATTTTTTTCTAGGTTTCTCAAGACCTCCTTCCCTGCTCTACAGCTAGTTGTTGTTGTTCTACCTGGCAAAACTCCAGTCTATGCGGAGGTGAGACGCCATTTTGTTTTAAGGGATCGGTCATTTTGTTTTAAGGGATCGGCCATTTAATTATTGAAGGGATTAACCATTTGTTTTAAGGGATTGACCATTTGTGTTTAAGGGATTGACCATTTGTCTTAAGGGATTGACCATTTGTCTTAAGGGATTGACCATTTGTTTTTAAGGGATCGCCCATTTTGTTTTTAAATGGATCGGCCATTCGTCCATGTTTTTTTTAGGAATCGGCCGTATTTTGATTTTGAAGGGATTGGCCAATATGATTTTAAGAAACCCCATCTATCTTTTGTATATTAAGGTGAAGAGAGTTGGAGATACAGTCCTTGGTATGGCAACTCAGTGTGTCCAGGTCAGTACATACAAGATACTACTTATAATGATAATACAACATGAATCATGTTGGAACGTTCACTACATTTTAAACTAACTAGTGCAATTGAAACATTGACTTAGGTACTAAGCTGTTAAGGTTCTTCATAAGTGCTAAGTATATGGCATATTGGTAAGCGACCTTTTGGGTCAATTTACAATGGGGCACCAATTGAGTTCAACAATGCATGGGACTATTCCTTTTTTTTACCTCTGGCTGGGGTTTTCCGTCAAGAGCACATAAGGCCACTGACAGTGCGCTTCCGCAAAAATCATTGCAAAATGCTTTGCTAACAGCTTATCCTGGCCATATTCCAGCATATACAAGCAGGATTAGTCAGAGGGGCGAGTTTCTGGAGTCTCTAGGGGCTGCAGAGGGGTGGGTTTCTGGTGTCTCTAGGGGCTGCAGAGGGGTGGGTTTCTGGTGTCTCTAGGGGCTGCAATCTGTTTAAGGATTGGGCAATTGCTTGCTTTGCTCCTCAGCGTACAGTACGCGAAGACTCCCTACGTACGTTCACCCAGCAGCTGCAGAAGATCAGTTCCGACATGGGAATGCCGATAATAGGTAAACAAAGGGGCATTAGCGTATGNAGGGGCTGCCTGAGGGGTGGGTTTCTGGTGTCTCTAGGGGCTGCAGACACAACATAGATAGAAGACTAACATTAAAGGATATTTTATTTGAATTGAATTTATTTGATTCGATGCAAATAAAATTAACCATGCACAAAATTTAAATATTTGAATATAAATATAAATGTTTCTAGGCTAAGAATGTAAACAAGACATCAGCGCAGACATTGTCCAACCTTTGCTTGAAGATTAACGTGAAGCTGGGAGGAGTTAACTCTATCCTTGTCCCGAATATCAGGCCTAAGGTATCAAGGATTTTCAAACTGAAATCTTTTCAGGGGTGTATAGTTTCTCATAAAAAAATTGAAATTTTTTTCTCCTTACAAGTAATTAATTTTTGCGCAATCCCTGTAAAATATGGTTTGATTTGATATAAGGTGTCAATTGCTAAATCGGGGAAAATAATTGAATTTTTTGGGGAAAAATTATCAAATTATATACCTGCGTTTTGATATCTTAATTTAGATTATTATTCTGAAAAATATACTCCCCTGAATCTTAGGAGACAGTAGAAACATTTGTGAATGCTCTATTTATTAGAACAAATGCCTCTATATCTCAAATTTTAGTATAATTTAGAGTAAATTAGTAAAAGATGATAAATTTAAGGGTACCTGCGGGAAAAGGGAAAAGGCTGTCTGTCAGTTGACTTAACAGATACCAAATTTTACTATCTATTGATTGATAGTGTTGACTTAAATACGAATCTATATTTATATTTGTTCAGGTGTTCAATGAACCTGTAATATTCCTTGGAGCTGATGTAACTCATCCTCCTGTAGGAGACTCAAGGAAACCCAGTATAGCAGCTGTAGTAGGAAGCCAGGATGCTCATCCTTCTAGGTAAATATCAAGGAAACCCAGTATACCAGCTGTAGTAGGAAGCCAGGATGCTCTTCCTTCTAGGTAAATATCTAGGAGACTGTAGGAAACCCTTGACGACCGAAAAGTCAACTGTAACGGACCAGAACGTGGTTTTGTCTTGGCCAACGGTTGGGGAAACTGCTAGTGTTCACGCTAGTAATAAATAAATAAACTACAAGGTTTCCCAATAAACATGACAATAAAGAGACGACTTTGATCATCTCTTATCTCTGTAAACTGTAATCAAAAATCAAGTGGACTTCAATAAAAGGTTGCACGATTTTCCAAGAGTAAACTAAACCGTTTAGTTCTTAATTTCTTCGCAAGTATTAAAATCACAACAAAAGCCGGTCAGACACCTGCCAAGACTAGGAATATAAAATTACATCTAGTACTATTTCCAAATAAACTGCGACATGAATGCTACAATAAATTTCATGAAGACATTTTTGCATTTATTTATAAGTAATTGTAAATTGCTTGTTAAATTGCTTGTGTTTTTAATATTTGTCCGTCCTTCAGCGGTTATTTTTGACGAGGGCTTAGTCCAGATTTCTTCGGAATACAAGCTGATCGTTTATTATTAATATTATCCAGGTATGCAGCAACTGTTCGTGTACAGAAACATCGCCAGGAGATCATTGAGGATCTTTCTGCTATGGTGAAGGAACATCTTACCATGTTCTATAAATCCACAGGTAGAAAATCATCTTTAAAGGGACTCTTAGTCTTATGTGCTAATTTATATGTTCAAGAAATAATTCATCTGAGGATAGATTGTGCCTAACACTTCTGATGTGCAAGGTTATCCAGAAAAGATGACCCGGTTGTTTAACTGTACTTTATGTTTAGGAGGGTACAAGCCCCACAGGATTATTATGTACAGAGATGGAGTCTCGGAGGGTCAGTTCTCGCAGGTTCTTCAGGTAGGGACTCCTTTTTNGTGGCATCTAATGACCAACTTTTGTGTGGATTTGTCAATTAATTGGTTTAATTTAAACCAACCTAGATTTAATAGCTATTAGTATAATTCTGTCTCAGCTATTCCAACTAGTTTTCTTTTCAATTTCGGGGGCGATGTCAATAAAATATCTTTGATAAATGAATGACTGGTTGCTTTAGAGTTTGATTTCTATCTGTGTTCCCACCAGGGAATCCAGGGAACTAGCAGACCCAGCCACTACCATGTACTCTGGGATGATAATAGGTAAACACATTGTACATGACAGCACAGTAAGGTAAAGTAAAGTAAAGTAAAGTGTCAAGTCAAGTCAAGTCAAGTCCTGCTGTGTCTAGAGGGAATGCTGCTCAGGCTTAGATGCATTAATATTCCTTCCAGAAAGTGCAGTATACTTGATTTGTAAACAAAGATATTAGATTTCCTCGCACACTTTTTATGTTCCATGAACTTTGCAGAGTAAAAAAATCTGTTCTGTCGCTGTCTAAAAAAATCTTGAAAGGGAGCTCAAGCCGGATTTCCAAATAAAGATGGAGAGGTGGTTTGTGATATTTTTAACAACAAAGTTTGTGAACTGAAATGAGCTGTACTGTGATGTACTGTACTGTACTGTACTCTAACTTGTATTTCACTGCTCTGTATTTATTTCAGATTGTGCGGTAATGTTCTTTTCTGTTCAATCACTTGTATTTTACTTTAACTTGAACTTACCGTAACTAAACTTGTTATGTACTATGTACTATATTTTTACCTGTAATTTAGATTGTACTGTATTTTAAGTTTTATTGTATTCTAACTTGTATTGTTCAGGTTTGAAGCTGATGAACTGCAGCAGCTGACCTATCAGCTGTGTCACACCTATGTACGGTGTACACGTTCTGTATCAATTCCTGCTCCTGCGTACTATGCACATTTAGTAGCTTTCAGGTTAGTTAAAAATTCAAATAATGATTTGATTTGATTTAATTTTTTTTTTGGGGGGGGGGGTTAGTTTTTATTTTACTTTTACTTTTACGCAATAAATTGATTCATATTTGTTTAGCACGAGTTAACTGCTATTAGAGAGGCGTGCATCAAGCTCGAAGCTGATTATAAACCTGGAATAACATTTGTAGTTGTACAGAAGCGTCATCATACCAGGTACACTTTTTATAATTTAAAACTTAGATGTCGTGAGAAGTGTAGGTTTCCAATCGAAATTCTGTAGCGTAGAATTGCGCGGAACTGTTTACGTTTTGTGCGGAATTGCGCGAAAATTACAGGGCCTGCAAATGCGCGCAAGAAAAATCCACTTGCGTTGAAAACCCTAGTATTGCTGTAAATCGTCTTGCTAACATGTTATAAAGTGCCAAGATTTCCTATTTGATTTTTTTAGACTTTTCTGTGCGGATAAGAAGGAGCAGAGTGGTAAATCTGGAAATATACCTGCTGGAACTACAGTAGACATTGGGATAACTCATCCTACAGGAACCATACTCATTTCTTTTTAATTAAGTGAAAAAGTGGTATTTTCCAGTATTAAGTTCATGGAGGTCAAAATGAAAGTCAATGACATCCGATCTTTGCGATTTAAGTTCAAGGTCTAAACCAGATAAGAGCTTTGGAAGATCGTGGGCCCTGGAGTGAACAGAAATGAAACACTGTCGTTAAAATCTTGTAAACATAACATAGCCTCTCAAAAATTAGGTAGCACCAAATGCGCCTTGTTTTGAAATTTCAAAAATGTGGTCTGTCGTTTTTGTAACTTAAGAATTGATCCTGAGATATTGAGAAATTAGTCTAAAATTAAAAGTATTGATTAAAACAAATGTTGTTTAAATCTTAAGTATCTCCGACTATCATGATACAAAGAAGGAGGCTAAATCTTAAAGACTTTAAATGTTTTTATTTATTCTTTTGACAAAAATTAACTTCGAAAATCAAAATCAAATACAAATTGTAAGTCCAGGGTCCAATGTCTAACATACTGCATGACACCCCGCCCAGAAAATTACATCAAACCTTGACTATGATATAAACATGGGCTCAACTTTAAATTTTAAACAGTGTTTCGAGATTTGAGCCACCGAAAAATTTGAATTGGTGAAGCGGTTCAGCTAAGCAGTTCAAATTCATTAAATTCGGCCTCTGCGCTTTTTGAATGATGCAAATTCGAATATCTGCATCCTGAGCACTGGAGGTGGGGNTTTTTACTTTGTTATAAAAATTGAAAAGTTCTAGGTGGAAAACCAATGTTCAGTGAGCCTTCTTGGAAGCGGATAGAAAGTATCCAGATTTCATTTCATTTAATGTTTTTTTTATTATTTCATTGAATATCATTTAATTTCATTTCATTTCATGTTATTAAATTTAATTCATTTGGGAAAATTTGATTTGCTTCACTTCTTATATAGTGTACAGGGTGCTAAATTTTTCAAATTTTTAGCTAATTTGATGATTTAACAGTGTTTACTCCTGTAGGTCCCGTTATCACCTGGTTGAAAAGGAACATGACAGTGGAGAAGGTTCCCACACCTCTAGCCTGGGATCAGAGGACAGAGCCCCAGCAGCCATGGCCCGGGCAATCACAGTCCACACCGACTCAATGAAAGTCATGTACTTCGCGTAGAAGATCGTCGTCATCAGGAGGTTTATGGAATCCTTCTCCCACAAATTCCATTCTAAATTTTATCATTACGCATTCATCTCATGCGTACATATGATTTACTAATTTTGTTCAAGCTGTTATACAATTTTAGACTTGTTGCACAATTATGGAATATTCCCGTTGTGCATTTTTGAAATAGTTTCTATCGCTAGGTCAATAAAATTCAAATTCTTCAAGGTCATGGTTCTCAGCTTGATTTATACAAGCTCCATGAGGACTAGGTTCTTGTCAATCCTTACCATTTTCTCGCACAGTGAACAGTTCACGTTTACAGTTTACAATTTACATTGTACAATGTACAATGTACAATGTACATGTTTTACATCAAGTATTTACATAGAACAGAATATTGAAACAAAATTTGTAATGTATTGTTACCACAACTTTGTTAACTCTCATGTTAGATCCTTGCACATTACGACCAGGTTTCTCCAGGTACATAGTTTAACATGCTTAGTTTTACACTGGGATCAGGGTGCTCCAGGTACCTAGTTTAATACTGGGACCCCGGACCAGGATTCTCCAGTACGAAGTTAAGCACTGGGACCAGGGTGTTCTAGGTACTAAGTTCAACTCTGGGACTAGGGTGGTCTAGGTACTAAGTTCAACTATGGGACCAGGATGGTCTAGGTACTAAGTTCAACTATGGGACCAGGGTGCTCCAGCAACATAGTTTAGCACTGGAACCAGGGTGCTCAAGGTACTTAGTTTAACACAGTGACCAGGGTTCTACAGGTACCAAGTTTAACACTGGAACCAGGGTGCTCAAGGTACTTAGTTTAATACTGTGACCAGGGTTCTACAGGTACCAAGTTAAACACTGGAACCAGGGTGCTCAAGGTACTTTGTTTAACAATGGGACCAGGGGGCTCCAGGTACCCAGTTTAACATTGCGACCAGGGTGCTCCAGGTACCTGGAAAAACACTGGAATCCTTCCTTTCTCTTCTCAGAGGAAGATGAAAACGTGGTTCAACTGGATAAACTTTAATCCAGATATGTATAGTTCTTCAGTCTTATGTAAAAATAGATTTTTTTCCGTGAACTCGGGTCAAATAATTTTTTTCTCGTCATTCTTTTGATGAAATATAAATTTTGACCAAACAGTTTATATTTAGAACAATATAAAAATCTTAATTGTTGTCAAAGGTTAGATTAAAATTGTGAAATATTCAGAAGAAATGAGGGGGAGATGTTTCTTTTCTTATTCTGCACTTTAATGGATTGTTAAACTAATCGGTAACCTAACTCTGTCTAATGCTGGAGCACTTTTCGTTATTCCTGAAATATGCGTCGCATATTATGCAACGTCTAAAATCCGAGATCTAGGATTCTTTAATGTCGTGACGTAATGGGTTGAAAGGAAGAACGAAGATATCTGCATCATTAATGATTAAAGTGACGGGTACTTAAGAATTACTTTGGTAATCCAATGAATAATATTTAGTGGCATCTAATGACCAACTTTTGTGTGGATTTGTCAATTAATTGGTTTAATTTAAACCAACCTAGATTTAATAGCTATTAGTATAATTCTGTCTCAGCTAGTCCAACTAGTTTTCTTTTCAATTTCTTATAAGCCCCCCCCCCTATTCCATTGTTATCATTGACATAACATTTTGAATAAATAGTAATGCAGCAAATAACACTTGCATTTCTAATGTTTTATGAGTTTCTAATTTAGGGGTTTTTTATTCTTTATTCCTAAAAGTGACCAATATAATTTTCAGAGTATTATTTTAATCCCATTTTGTATTCATTTCTAGACATTTTTTCACCCTTACGTCGAATAAATAGGCATAAAAATATTAAGTTTTTTCAATGAAAAAAATAGCTTTTAATTTCGTAAACAATTTATTTTGAGATTGTGTTTCTTCTTTTTTTTAATTTTTTGGAACGTTAGTTCCTTTTCCACAAATATTCTCAATGATGAAACAGCGCCACTTTTTCCAGGTTCAAATGTTAAAATAATAAAAAAAAACATTATCCTTTAATTATCTTATCCATTATTTTTGGGCTTTTTAAGATGTTCTGCTTCGAAAAAAGGTCTAAAAAGTGGATATAAAAAATTAGATGAAATTTGAAATAATTGTGATTATTATTTGTATGTTTTGTTATCATTATAAAATTTTTGTAATTTGTTGATTGTACTGTATAATGTAAATATGTGTGTAATATGATAAAATAACTCAGTTATTTCAATACTTTACAATTACATCGCCTTCAAGTAAAATAGTATTTCAGCAAAAATAAAGAAAAAATCTGGAAATAGTTTTCAAACTTACTTTTTTAAACTCTATAATAGATGTACATTCACTAGTTAGGATCTGGGAACAGTTCAACGGTTTTTCAACAAGTGTATTAGGGCACAATTTTTTAAATAACTATTTTGTGCTGAAATGTAGATTGCATGTATTTTCACGTACATATTTACATACCCTGCTCAGTGTTATAATGTGTTCAGAAATTAACATTGTATTTAGCGGAATTTTGAAATAGATTTTAAGTCCATTTGAAGGTCTCATTATTTCCAGAGAAGATGGCGGCTGTGAAAAACGCGGGAAACGAGGCAAAGACGACCCTGTCCGAGCTAGAAAACGATTTAACGAGATTTAGTGTTCAGATTAGGCACATCCCTCATCTTTGTGCCATAATAGAATTAAGACCTTTTAAGTAATACTGGGTTTCAAAGGTAATCACTAATCACTAACCAGTGGTTGGTAATTATAAAAAAAACTTTTGTTAATCTTAATTTTTCATGTTAGAGAAAGCTGAATCTTGAAAACGCTTGTTTACTATAGATGTCATTGAACTGATGATCAAACATATGGTTTATTTCCCCACGCCACTTTTCCCAAATTTCTTTCTACTTAAGAAATCCCTTTAATCACTGTTACACCTAAAAATACTAATTAACAAAAAAAGTTCATTAATTTGGATTTCAAATTTGGTATTGATGATGGTCAAAACCTCATAGAGTTAATAAAGTAAAAGTTCCACATTTTATTGAAAATATGTTTCGATCTGGGTTAACGATATAATAACCTTCAAAATTTATATAAGAAAGGTTAAAAATCCACTAGAAAATAAATAGACAAATTTTTTTTAAAGGGGTTGTCAGATGGAAAAAAGGAAACGAACTCGGATCATGATGTGTAAATAAGATAATTTGCAATATTCACTTCTGAATAATGTTTTAAGACAATTATTATTCCTTGAGATTGTTTATGTCATGAAGATTCAAAACAAACTGTTGATATGCTTAAGTGGTGGCGGTAGGAGTGGTAGTCGATCTAATTATCGAACTTTTTCAAAAATTACAATTATTATCGCAAGCCTTTAGATTTAGTCAGTTAGTATTTTAGTCTGTAAGATGTGCTACACACACTCCAGATAAACCTATCTATTTTTCTCATACGAATTAGCTAAAGTCCCCGGCGTTGCCCATGGAATTTAAAAAATACTCGAATTTTCCCAACAAATTCCAGCCAATTTAGTCCCTCCATTATAGCTAACATATACAGGGTCACCTTCAAAGGATTAGACTTTAAAGTTTAAATTCATGATTCCCTGGAACTGTAAACTCATTTATTTCGTGGGCAAATCATCATTAAAGCCATTAAAAGAAATTTAAATTAATTTTACCTTGAAATCATCATATGAGATTCAGGTCGTCTTTACAGTCTCATCCTTTGTGGGTAACACGGTATACATGAGCAAAGAGCTCTATTGGACAGAAAATTGAGGTTTGGAATCCATAGGCGGAGCATTCAAGATTTTACACTCTGCGCTACATTCAAGGAAATAGATGAACAGGTATCAAAGTTGAAACTGATTCCTAGGCTTACTGGTTCCTGGATTCCGGTTTTCCTGTTCACGGATTTTCCTCAAAATTCTCGAGCATTCTTAACTTTCATTTAGACTCGAATTATTGCTACTACAATGTCTTATATTTGAGCCCCCCCCCTTTACTCATATTTTATAACGTTAGTAGAATTATCTATGGGTTTCCAAACCAATTTTTTTCCAATTTCTAAAAATTTGGTTCGTTAACAGAACCTTTAAGACTCTATTGTATTGTGAATATGTTCAGAATAGCGGTGTGCGCGGTCTGATGGACAATATGCGGTCAACACTGGAGGTAGGGAGAAGAGATTTAAGCTCCCACGCGCAAATACAAATTTTGTAAGGGGGGGGGGAGATGGGTGAAATTTAACGCCTTAAAGGGACTGTAAAGGAAAAATGAAAGGGGGTATAGGCTGAAAGCTAATCACTTTAGCTCTTGATTGCGGCCCATGAAAGTTTTATCTGATGTTCCTGTCTCGAAAAATTGATATAAAACTGTATTAAAATTATACGAAAGTTCATATATGTAAAATTTAGAAAATCTTTAACTTAAATCACGTGACCAGAACTATCACCAATGGCAGAGCAGTATACTCGTCACGTTTCTCCCCCTGTATTACGTGACCACGTTACTGCACTGCCATTGATGAATTTCTGGTCAAGCAATACGGACGTATAAATAATATTATGATTTAAATCTTTAAAAAATAGAAATAACAAATATAAAATTAGAATTGGAGTAAACCTGAGTTATAGTTGTAAATCAGTTTCTCGAGATAGGAACATCAGATATAACTTTTATGGGTGATTAGCTTTCAGCCTATATCCCCTTTCATTTTTCCTTTACAGTCCCTTTAATAGAAAATTCTGAAGTTTTTCTTTTTATCGAGTTCACAATTTTAAGGTTGGTGTTTTTTAGTTTTTAACAATTTTTTGTCCCCTTTTTTAATAAACTATTATAATGTTTTTGTTATGTTTTAAGATAGTTGAGCGTCTAGGCAGAGAAAGTTTAGACAAAGCTGAAGCTGAAAAGGCCCGGTAATTATTTAATATATTTTTTCTTTTTTTAATATGCTATGTGCTTGTAGGGCGCTTCGCGCTACTTTTTTATTGTACTCCAATAAACAAAAATTTTCGCTGATGTTTTTTTAAATTAAAGGGATTTTAAAAGTCGTAAAAGTTGACATTTTTTTCCAGATAAAAATTGTCAATTTTGACCATTCATAAACCTTCCCTGAAACCATGTGAGTTCAAGTTCCAACAAAAAATTTGTGCCAAATCGGTTTAGCCGTTCTGGCTTTTATTGCAGCTACATACAAGCCAAAATATATATAAACTGTAAATGGACATTATTAACCACACCTTCCCTGGGGTCGTGGGAGTTGCCACAAAAAATATTGGCCCGATCAGTTCAGTCGTTTTGATGTTTATTGGATTCAGACAAACAAGTCAAATTTATTTACAGAAAGATGTCGGTATACATTGTTTTTTCTTTTGTTTTATGATTTTATAATTGTACAGTGTACAGTGTACAGTGTACACTATACAACATATAACGGTATTAAGTGTTTTTAGATTCAACTGTACTGTGTAAAGTGTACGTGTATGTACAGTGTACGGCAATATGAATTGTTTTCTAATTCTACTGCACAAAACCGTTTACATTACTTGTTGATATAAATTGTTTTTTAATTCAACTGTACTATAGTACAATGTAATCTAACTGTACACTGTACAGTATACAATGTACATTGTACATTACATGTTGTTATAAATTGTTTTCCAATCTCATATAAACAATAAACATTAAACAAAGTTAATTTCATTTGTTTCAGGTCTGTCTATTCAAATTATCAACAGCAGGTGATAAAATTATTATTTTCATATGGGAGGGAACCCAGCGCTGCCAAGATTACTAAAAGTTACAACAGCCGTTTACCCGCACTTGAACGATTTTACCGGAAAAATTAATTTTCACTATTAAAGTCGACCCACGCAACTTAGAATCTTGAAACCAAACTAAGAACATTCCCATGGGCCTTCTGAGTTCCTCAACCAAAATTTAAGACAAATCGGTCCAGAGGTTCATGAGTTATGATCGGACAAACAATCATAAAGACAGACATACAAACAGAGATTACAACATATAATTAGATTAGATAAATGTTAACAAATATTAATATAAGCAATGTTATTAGTTGGTATCTTGTCAACGGCAGTTCCGAATGGCAAATGTTTCCCAAATCGCAGATCTAGAAAACAAATCTTCCAAGGACCTTCTTGGACAACCTGATCTCAGGTTTAAAGTGAAATAATATCATATTTTTATTTTATCTCGTTTTTGATTGAATGCTACAGTGATAACCAGAGAAATATAAAATAGGAAGACGACTTTCAGAATCAAGATATAACTTATTAAGTCCAATGACCATAAGACACAGCAATTGTGTAGTGTAAACAGACCCATTTCACTAAATTTGTGATTTGATAAGAATCTATTAAAGCTATTTGTTTGGTAAAAACATCAGAGGTATTGCAATAATGTCGTCTTCCTTTTTCAGTGTTTTCTGGTTCTCACTATAATATTATTATTTATATTTATTGTGAAAAAAAACTTTTTTTGCTTCAACCTGAACCAGTATTTGTGGGTGGAATTTAAGGTGATAACTTGCGAATGAAACAAGCTAAGCGAACAGAGGCCGAATTTAAAGAATTTGAGCCGCGGCTTAAATTTGAGACGCGGCCCAAATATGGTTGGCTCTACTTAAGATTGTAGTCAATGTTTCAAGATCTAAGCCGGCGCTCAATTGAAACCGTTTTTTGGCTCAAACTCAATAAATTCGGACTCAGAACCTTTTAAAGGTTCAGTTTTCTTCCTTAAATTCGCGTGAACATTTGCAAAATGGAAAATATTTTGTTTATCTAGGCAAAGAGTTCGACCTTCTGGCGGGAAAGAAAGCTTGATATCTCAGCATAGCAATGTTACAAATAATCTAAAGGTAGAGTCAAACAAAAAAATCAGTTGTTTCCTTTTGTTGAATTTTTTTCAGTGTATTTTTTGTAGGTCACTATGTGGGTTTTAATTGAAAACTGTTATTTTGGTTATTGCCTGTTGCTTATTTTTTGTTTGTTGATGGATGTTGAAAGTTTAATGTTAGTTTTTAAGGTTTGTTTTGCTTGATTTGATTGTTTGTTTTATTTTTTTTTATATTAAGTTTTATTGTTTATTATTGCTTGTTTTCAAGATTTTTTTTGAATGTTTGGCTTTGGTTTTTTGTTTTAAGGTATTTTTATTGTTTTGGTTTTAAGGTTTGTTTTGATTGTTTGGCTTTGATTTTTGGTTTTAAGGTTTTTTATTGTTTTGGTTTTAAGGTTTGTTTTGATTGCTTGACTTTGATTTTTGGTTTTAAGGTTTGTTTTGATTGTTTGGTTTAAAGGAATTTTTGTTGTTTTGTATTGTTTGTTTTTGAAAATGGTTGACGGATTTGTGTTTGTTGAATGTCTTCGTCTTTGAAATGGGATTTGGGCAAGTTTACAATAGCTTCTAAATCCATGCTGCTTTGATTATTAACTTCTACGGAATGATGGTTGATCGCTTGTTTGTTTGTTTGTTTGTTTGTTTGTTTGTTTGTTTGTTTGATGAAGATCTTGACCGATAATAATTTGTCTTTTATAATTTTGATAATTGTATCACCCCTGCTCTCAAACTCCTTCACATATCCTACATACTCAATAACAGAACAAATTTAGTGCAAAGAAAATAGCCCAACCGACTTAGTGCTGTACATTTAAATCGGCACACCCGCGAAGTTGTTTAACTTAGGCTACGTAGTTCAACTAATTCTCACTATTGATTAACTTTGGTTCCAGGCTATTAGTCGACAGCTTGCAGCTACAGTGGAAAGATCCAATCTAACTGTATCAAACCTTGAAGGATCTTCTAAAACATTACAAGAGGTAACTTCATTGCAAAGAAGTAGTTGGCAGATGCCCAATGTAGGGGGGGGGGGTTCAAATTATCTATAATTGCGATTTCTCTGTAAAGATAAAGTTGCGGATTTATAGCAGATGAGACTCGCGATGGAAGAAAATTGTCATAATTCAACACTTTTCAAGACTGAAATGTATTCTTATTCATAAATGATTTTTCGAGACGAAAGATATAAGATGAATCATGTATAGGTAGATGAGGAGCATAGAAGTCTATCCGGGGTTATCGGTCAGTCCAAGAAGCTTATAACCAAGTATATACGGAGAGAGTTTACAGATAAGGTAATTTTTCTTATACAAGGATATCTCCTCTGGTAAATATGTACCTTCATGTTTTAGAAGAGCGTAAAGGCGTAAAGGGTGTCCCGCGAAAAATTACGGTAGCAAGATGACTTAACGGTCGTCTTTGATGTTTGAAATTACTTTAGGAATTTATTTGTAAACTTGATTTTAGAAGTTAGATTCTTAAATGAATAATTGCTAAATAACCTAAGTGCTGGTATTTTCAAAATGTGCATTTTGCCTTTTGCCTTTCAATCTTCGGTAAAATCAATAGCACAGGACAAAAATGCAGACCACATTTTGAAAAACCAGGAATAGGAGAATTTTGTGATTATTGATTCTAAAATCCTACGTGTAACTTTATTTCAAAGATCAAGAACGATCTTCAAGTTTTCTTTCTACTGCTACAGGGTGTCCCACGAAACATGACAGTTGGTTAATAGTTTTAAATGTCTTCTTCCATATTTATTAGATATTAAAGACTTTTTGCAGTTTACTTAGTTAAAAACTTTACTCAAATATATTTTAGTTAAAAATTAATTTTACTATAACATGGATGCCATAACATATTTATTATTATTCTCTTTGGCAAGAAACAACTTGACATATTATGAAAGAAGACATTTTAAACTATTCAACAACTGTCATGTTTCGTGGGAAACTTATTATGTGAATTAGAAATTAATAATATTCACAATTTATTTTGTTCACTGCTTTTTGTAAACTTAATTAATATTTTCGAATTTTGAAAATTCCGAGTTATATTACAAAAAAGGCTTTTTAGCTTATAAATACAGGGTTACCCAGAAAGTAGAGACTTAAGAGACGACTGTAGGGAATTCCTACTGTTGTGGCTTTATTTTGAAAGCTTCCCATGCATATTGTATATTGTTGTTTATTGTCATTGTAATTGTTATTGTTTGTAAACATCGTACTACACCTATAAATAGTCATGTACTCAAATATATATTCAGTCAAGAAAACCTTTACTGTCTCGCCTTAGTGGTGACTACGTACGCTTTTAAGCCTTTTCGCAACATTGAGCTTTGCAAAATCGTTAAATAAACAATTATAAAGATATATTTAGGGCAGTTGACTCACGTCTTCTTTATAGTTTCATCATTTCTTAGTAACCCTGTAGGTTTAAGTTTTAGATTAGTTTTGAACAAGTTAAATCTGTTGATTTGTTAATCTTGTGTTCAGGTTTTGATTATGTTTGCACTTGCCTTCTTCTTTGCTGTAGTCCTATATATTCTTCGAAAGGAAAAGATTCATTATTTAAAATATTATTAAAAAAATTCGGCATTATACGTGGTTTTAAGAAAGTTGAAAACTTTTGCTTAAAGGCAACATGAAATACACAAAAAATTTATAAAATTAACTGTTGTCTTCTTATTCCACAGTTTTATGAGTCTGACTGTGTTTCCCGTAAAAACAATTTACCCGCGAATCATTTGTTTAAATTAAGATGTAAAAATATGGACTTTCAAAGTATAATCTAAGAAAAAAAATTTTATTTTTTTATTTCTAATTACAGTGTTACAAAATTATTACTCCTTTTTAATATTGAATTTATTTGTTTGCAGCGGGTCTTTCCCAGTTTCGGAGTTCTAGAAGTCGTCTTCTATCTGATAGGTTCTCTTACTAATGGTATTGCAAACATACCAAATATGTTTAATTAAAACTATGCTAAATTTGTAAAAAAAAAAAAAAAAAGGAAAACGGGGAGAATTCCGGGGATGATTACATTTTATGTATTTTCATACAAAAACTGTTTATTAATTATTTATTCTAAATAATATTGCGAGGAATCGGAATTTTAAACAATGGCTTTTGTGCCAATTGTGTGAAATGTGATTGTCTATTCCTTGCGATTTCATGACTATTGATGTGTCTTCAGTCGGTTCGTTGCTGGGTAGTTTTTCCCTATATATTCTTTCAAGGTCAAAATGTGGCTAAGTGGAAGAAATATTTTTTTTAAATATTTCTTAACACTATGTCAAATGTTTAACTTAACAGAAGATGTGAAAAAAACGGCCAAAAATGATCCAAGAACGAACGTGTTGTAACAATCGTTCTTGGATTGTTTTTCAATTTTTTTAAAGATTGCTAGGTTAATAAAAGTAAACTTAGGAAGTTTTATTAATTTATTTTTAAAAACTATCTAAAACAATTAACACCACTGTTGAGTATTTATGACGACTAAATTAAATAAGTTAAATAAATGCAACGAGCCATGATCAAAGGAAAAGATTTAATAGAATTTTCCACTCTTTATACGAGCTCCTTCTATGTTGGTTATCCTTAATTTCTTATTAAATATATTTAAACTTTTGTATAAAAAAAATAGTGAGTTCTGTGTTCTCCGAATTATGTGATTTCATAAATTCTATCATATCTGTATTTAAATAGATTGTTACTTATTTCATTATTTTCTTTTTTTTAACTTAAAACGTAATTTTGGTGTCAGCACTTTATGTTAATAGGTCTGAAATAACGAAACGAGTAAGAATATTTCTGTTCATCGAGAGGCCCCCCCCCCCTCCCCTTTGGAAAAAAGTGCAACCTACAAAGTCACGCACAATTGAAAAACAGATATTTTGGATTGGAATCTCTGGACCATGTGCTGCGGCTAGGACAGGCCGCGTCCACCTTTTTATAAAGCTAGATTTTTGATGTTGCCATTTTTGAGTCGCAGGACAGGATGTATTGCGAGTTTTTCCTAAAATCACAGAAATTACTGAAGATTTCTGTTAGGCGTAGTTAGCATTGTTATCACGAAAACAATATTTGTGAATTTTTAAATTTCTAGTTTGAAAAATTTTAATTTACTTCACGTAGCACATTGTTTATCGCTTTTTAGAATTACTATCCTCAAATTCTTTGCATGTCAAGAATTAGATATTCATGTTTTTACTTTGAAAATTGGCTCAATTTAAAGGGAGTGTTCGCGAAAAATGATAGGGGGTATAGGCTTAATGCGATAAAAAAGCGCTTTTGATCGCTACTAATCTTACTTCTATCTGTTGCGTCTATAAGGACAAAATTGTTAAAAACGACTAATACCGAAGAACGTAGTGTCCATACAAATTCAGAAAGATGCAACATACGACTTAGACCGTAAAGAAATCTATTTAATTTTAAACAAATCATTCAAATATTACAACCTATAGTCATCGATTATCTTTCGCCACATTTGTATATAGTTGATTTTTCATAATATGTTTTCATTTTATTTTTTAAAATAATATTCAGATTACAACTTGTTTTCGAACATTCCTGGAAAATATTAAAATGTCGTCTTCATTACCAAAAATCCTCGAAACAGGAATAAATGTAACTCTCAGATCATAACAATTAAAACAAATTATGAAAAATCAACTTTATACATATGTGGCGAAAGATAATCGATGACTATAGGTTGTAATATCTGAATGATTTGTTTGAAATTAAATAGATTTTTTTACGGTCTAAGTCGTATGTTGTATCTTTCTGAATTTGTATGGACACTACGTTCTTCGGTATTAGTCGTTTTTAACAATTTTGTCCTTATAGACGCAACAGATAGAAGTAAGATTAGTAGCGATCAAAAGCGCTTTTTTATCGAATTAAGCCTATACCCCCTTTCATTTTTCGCGAACACTCCCTTTAATTGGGGTTACTTTATAAAAGTGAATTGCGTATTTCTGCTACAAAAGCAAGGGAGAACATTTTAAAATGACATGCTCAATGAACAACGATATCTCCCACAATGTTGATTCAGATAAGGGTTTAAAGTATTGTGAATCTGGCATGCCCTTCTCTTTTTTTACAATTAAAGTCCCTTCTCATACTTGCCAGATTACTATTAATGAAATTTTAAATTATTTGTTTAATAAAAAAAGAGATTTTTATAATGTTCTTTTCTAAGCCTGTGATATTAACTTGTATTAATTGTATTTTTACGATTAAATCAAGTTGTGTTAAATCGCCTGTATTTAAATTAGTTTTTATAACAGTCAGTTGAATTTGTTAACTTTATGCATTAGATAAGGGGGGAGATTAACATTGAATATTTGTTTTATTTTATTTCTAACAAAACATTCAAAATTCAAGAAATTATGTTGGAATAAATTTCTGTTATGCTCTTTTTAACAGCGGTTTATTGATTTTTATGATAATCTAACCTGCACTAATATTGTAAAAAGAAAAGAAAATACGAAAATCCTCATTACTTCACTTCTAACCTACGTCAAATCCGCTATACTACACACCCTAGACGGCCTACTAGCCCTTTGTTTTACAGCTGCTAGATGGACTTGTGCCCGCAGCGCCTGGTCCCCTAGCCTGTCCTAGTCGCGGCTCTCGGCCCAGCAGGGGGAATGTTGCGTATAGATCATGTAACATTACTCGTTTAATTCACTCCTAATTGTTGCTCTATTTGTGAACATTTTCTCTATAGTAAACCTTATGATACAAAATAAACGAAGTTCCGAATTTTATGATATTTTCTTGTGGATTTTTTAAAATTTTATGAAAAATCGATTTTAAGGCAAATTTTTAAAATCCTTCCAATTTTTCGGGGGGGGGGTGCGTCCCAACTTATCTGATTCACTTAAATATGGCGTGTTAAAATTTTCCCCTGCTGACGCACATTTTGTTGTATCTTTTAAACAAATAGCATTCTCCCTGTTATCTTTCATGATAACACTTAAGAAAGACAAGGTATGGAAATTACCCACCGATGATTTCTTCTTCTGAAGAAACTAATTTTTTTAATGCATCTCAGAATCTCAGGAGTTGAACGATATATATAAGATATCTATCTGATGTTCCTATATTGAGAAATTGATATTAAATTGTGTCAAAATTATACCGAAACGTATATATATCAGATTTTGTATTAGATTCGTAGTATTATAAACAGACCATATTCAACAACTACGCAACTAATCTGAAAACAACGATTTCTCAGAGAAGCCTGAGAATCTCAGATTTGCTCCTGTTAACATTTTTATTTTTTTATTTTGCATTTTTAATAGATATATTTGATAATATTATTACATATAGTCCGTAAAGTCCGTATTACGTCACCGGAACTCCCACCAATGACACTGTAGTATACTGGTCACATGACAAGGATACTGCATTGCCACTGGCTGGAGTTCTGGTGACGTATTATGGACTTTATGGACTATACGTAATAATATTATTAATTATATCTATTAAAAATCAAAAAAATTATGATGCCATGACGTCCTTAGAAATATGAATTTATACTTCATTCGTCTATAATTAGCATACAAAGGTAAAGAATTGCTGCCGGATGTGAAAACGGATGTGGGTCGGAGTCTAAATGGGTAAGCGCATGCCGCAGGTACCATTTTGTGACATCATTTCTGGGTTGTGGAGGTAAAACAAGCCTTGCCATGGGAGTAAGGACTCCCATCGACGGGATTTGCTTCCATTTTTTAAATTAATTGATAACATTATTTGTTATGTAATTTGTTATTTTAAATGTCAACTTTTGAGAATCAATTCGTCGCTGTTTTATACAAACCTTATCTTAAGTTTAATTCCGTAATTCAGTTCCATTTGGTTTTCAGGTATGTAAGGTCTAATCTTTAATTTAAATAATATTAAATTCTGAAATGGAATTTGAACTTAAGATAATCATTATTTTACAGGATGGGCGTGAGATTAATTTTGCTTGCCAGTATTGTGGGCTTAACTTTATCTGCAACTACTCAGGTCTGTTTCTGTCCTAAGTATTTTCATTATATATTAGACGTAACTTTAAGCTAACTTTTATTTATAGATTACCATTTTACACTTATACCAAGGATGCGCTCCAGTGTACGGAAAATGACGACATTTTCTGTACATTGGAGCGCATCGTTAGTAACCAACCTTATTATAGAATATTGCTCATATCGATACCTTTCAAACCTTTAACTGAGTAAAAGTGAGGAAGATATCGTCATTTCTCTGTTAAGAAAAGTTTAAATTTTGACAATTTCCTTCCATCGTCTTAGCTGCTATAAACCCACAAGTCACGTTTACAGAGAAACCACGATTGAAATAAATTTCGGACATTTCACGACAACTTAAATAAACAGATCGGGTCATTTGATATTATGTCTACAGTCCCTTTAAAATGAGTTTGGTTTGATATTTTATCTTAAACTTGCTGTATATAATAAGCAGTGAATATTTAGAAAAAGACCATACGCCTGAACTTTCTAAAATACAAATCCATATATTTTGGAGTCCAATATATAAATTTGATTTTTTTTGAAAATCTATGGATCTAACCAATAAGAAGTTAAGAAAAATCTGTTCCCAGCCAATGAGAGTTTTGCTATAGACTTTTGTGGTAGATTAGCGCTTTCTTATTCGTTCCAACCTATTTATTTCTACAACTTTCTCTTAAAGAATTTTTAATTCTGTGAAGTAAGAAATTTTTTAACACAAATCATGCCCAAAGAATCTTTTAAGATTAATAAATCATTGTTTATTTGTTTTATTTGCTCAGGGTCCAGAATCAAATTGTCCTAGAGCAGATGCATGCAGATCTGACGAGGTAAAAATATGAAGATTCAATTCAACGATTTTACCCTTTTTTGTAATAAAAACCAGAGGTGTTATCTCAGTTATGGATTTTTATAACTGTTAGGTTCATTTTACAAAGATTTAATTATTATTTTTTTCCAATCTGAAGTGTTTTCCTCCTGAATGCAGCTGTTCGGGAGCAGAGCCAGTCCTAGAAGATAGAGAAGACAGACCACAGGTAGGGAGGGCATCGTTTAGAGGTTCGTTGTTTTTAGTTTTTTTGCCTTTGTTTTCCTTCAGGGTCCAAATTTGTCACAGGGCAAGAAAAGCAATTATTTTTGAAATTCTAAACATGTGTTTTTATATTACAATATTCCATATGTTGACTCTGACAGAAAATGAAGGCAATAACAAGCCAAAAACTCTCTAAACTTGAACGTTTAAGAAGTAGTTTTAATTTGATTTTTAGGATGAAAGTATAGCAAAGTTTTGCTGATGTCGACAGTATTAATGTTTTGAAATGTTTTAATAAGTTTACAAAAAAACGATTCAAAACGATCCTGAACGATCCAAAACGATAAAGATCACCACAAAGATGGGCATTTGAAGCTCCGTTTTTTCAAATAAAACTTATCAAACATAAACATTTAAAAATATATTTTTGTGAAGACTATTTAAAGTTTAAAAACCTTTAACGTTAAAAATTTACAATTATTTCATTATTTTAAACATTTTTTTTAAGGTCTTTTGGTGACTTTTTAATTATGTTTAGATTGTATATTTAACCTATGACGATGCATTTAGTGCTTATGCAGAGGAAAATTTTTACAGGAAAACCATTGAAATGTTTTTTTTTTAACTAGACTTTATTTTTAAAAGTCTTTATTTTCTTTTTATTGAAAAATCGAAATTTTTATTTAATGTTTTGTTTATTTTCGACCAGCCATAGACTTTAACTTCGGTCATGTGATTTACAACAACATTTTGGCCTGTTTTGTTTCAGCCGTTTGGTTCGGACAATCATTTGATACAAACAAACAGACAAGCTAAATATATAAAGAAAAATTTAACTATGATTTGTTTAATTAGATCATATTACTAATTGTAACAAATAGAAATAATCAACGGTTTTTGACTCAGATCTCTCTTCAATGGAACTTTCAAAAATCCAGACGGATGCGACATTAGGAATAAATAGATTTTAAAAAATTTAGCAAATTTTTTATTAATTCATTTATTTAGCCAATTTATTATTTTTTTCTGAGTTGCTATAAAGCACAAGAAATTCAAATTATCTCATAATGCTGATGTAAAATCATTTTGATAAGACACTCACACTAATTTTCTTTATTACATTTAGCAATGTTGACACTAAGCATATCTCCAAAAACTCTGAAATTTTTTATCTTTTAAAGTACACAAAAGTTTTTAGATAATTTACTTAGGCCTGTTTTTCATAATTCCAACTCAAAATGTAAAAATTGGCTGAAAAATTTAATGAGTATTTTTGCAAAGTAAAGCTAAAGTTGTTAAGAAAAAATTAATTATCAATTACCGAATTATTAAATTTCTTATCTAACTCAATATTTTTGCATCCCTTTGTATTGTTACCCTCAAAGGATGCTACTTCTGTTAAGTCTATGAATTTAACAATCTGAAGGTTTTTTTGGTGTTGCCTTGCAGCCTGTAATTGATAGTCTTTGCAAAAACAAAACAAAAAGACAGGGAACCTTGAATGGATGGAATAATTGATTTAATAAATTCTTTACAGTCGTCTCGTAAAGGCTTATTCTTTGCGGGTAACCCTGTATAAGAAAAATATTTATTATTTAAAGAATTCAATTGCAGTTTTAATTGAGAATAAATTGATTTTACAATCTTATTTTGAAGAGCAACACACTTTTTGACGGCCCAGTATACAGATTACACTCTAGTCAACAAATACTGGAAAAAGGGTCATGAAATGGCCTCACATAGTATCACGTAAGTTCAATTTAAGAAGGTTATCGAACATAATAAAAGGGACTGAATGCGTACTTTAAAGTGACCCTCCATTTTTTTAATTTTAAACTTTCTCTATCAAAATGACTTGCAGATGTATAAATCTGACAGTAAAACTGTGATTCCTCACGTATATAGCTGAAACTGTACTGTTGTGAATAGGATATGCCACTCTTAAAATAGAGACTAAAGTCCCTTTAAATTCTGCCAACGTTAAAACGTGCAAAATTTTCAAGCGTGGCTTTTTTAATACTTTTTATAACATTCCCCCTTTTTCTAGGAATAATTTTTTCACAATATAGCGGGGGAAAACTCAGAAGACATCTAGGGAAAATAAATAATGGGAGGGGGGGGG